CAGAAGGAAAGGGCGAACTCAGACGAAATTTTGACAATGATCGAATGGACCGTGACCCCGAAAACTTGAGTAATAAATACTAGATAAAAAAGAATCAATAAAAGATAGTGAATTGTTCACGGAAACAGGGGCACTTTTGGCACGATCGTTATTAGCATCACTTGCCAAGCGCCAAATGTCCTAACCCAAAGGGAGTATCCGTTCAAAATCCCACAGTGAAATCAACGAAGACTTACAGTTACCCGGGGATAGTGTTGATTGAAAATTATTTAAAGTGTGAAATTTCATTCAGTAGGATTTTTCAACGGTAAATCAAATTAACCAATAAAGTTTTACATTTGTATAAACCCTACTCTGTTCCCGCGCAGAAATTCACATCTTGATTACGGCCAGGCAAGAATAGACAGTATCTTATTGGGCCATCAATTTGTGCGTTTCCGATTAGCCGATTTATATTTGTATACAATTCCGTTCGTTATTGACTTCAAAAGACTATGCTAACGCATACTTGTATCCTGTTCGCCTTTGAAGTTAAGACTAAGAACAGATTGGTTGAGGTGATCCACTGAAAACAAGGCCCGGTCATAACATCAACTGAATTTTCCGGTTAATTCCGGATGATGAGTTTCGCCGCACAGTGATGTGAGCACAGCGTATGCACAGCACCTGTACGCATAAGTTAACTAACTGAAAGAATTACTCTGTTATATGAATCAGTACAGTCGGCATCGCAACCACGATCAGGGCCTACCGAAATACGGAAATCCAAATCTTCCGAATTAATAACGGTTCTTGCGGGGTGGGATTGTTTTATTAGTAAGATAGCTCGGTGTGACAAGCCCTAGCGGCATCACGGCAATCATGAACGTTGTGTGAAATACCCGAACCAGCTGGGAATTTTAACCCCTCTACTGCTATTTCCTTAGGGAAACTTTATTATTCGATACCATGACAATCCATCTATTCGCTAATTGTACAGTAATTATTAACTGCCATAAGGAAGGATTCGTTTGCGTAAGAGTTTTCACTATCAAATCTACTTGTGCCTATTTATATCGCTAGACATCCAGTGTGCAAATTTAAAAAGAACTGCTGAGAATTCACCCTCATAGTGGGTACAGTATTCTTTAACTTGACGTGACTCCTGTATCATATTCTTATAATTTTCGAGTTAGTATATCAGCATATAGTTAACCAATGCTTCCATTTAATACATCACGTGGAAATGAATGCTAAAAGTGAAAGAGGCAAACTTCAGGGATGCGAGACCCAATCAGGTCCAGGCAGCAGTCCAGAGATTTCCAGCTGTTTCGTTCACGCCTAATTTTTCACGACAATTTTATCATATAAACAAATAGAGTCGAACTATATTGAACGAACGACAGATGGAACAGCTAGAGCATGCAATAAGTCGACGCGTCAAAAATGTGAACAGAAAAATAAAACTGGCAAAAAGATCACTTCACAAGCACTGATGATGTCACCTCACTGGCTGGTGATGAAACGTTTGCAAACAAAAAAGACAAGCTCGGCGAACAGGCGAAATGGAATTCAGCTCACCCGAGCTACAAGAACCAATTTTCAACATTTTGTCAAATAGAATCCTCTATAACTCTCAGATAACAAACAGTCAGATTGTGAAAGTTTCCAACCGAATCAGAACCCTGGAGACTACCGCTGAGATGAGCGAGGACCGATACTCGCAAGAAGCTCGTATAGTTGAGGTGTGCTACATAGTATTAGGCTCATACAGGAATATTTGGATTAGGCACAACGAGAGAGAGAGAGAGAGAGGAAACAGGACAATCGAACAGTGAGTGAAAGTTGATGAACGAATCCGCTTGGAAGTGGGATGAAAACATGCACCATATGTACACGACTGGAAAGACAAAACCGTGTGCTGAATACCCAACTCATTCTGGTGTTTGCGGTTTCTCCTGTTTGGTCTAACCTGGTCAATAACAGACTGTACAACACTCCCAGTTGACTGGATCAGGTGTCAATGAAAGAAAAGATAACGCTTATACTGGTTGCTCCTGCTCTCTCTCGCTGTTTCTCTCCCGAGCACAAGTCACGACCAAATCGACATTTTGTTTACTCCAAAGGGTTGTTGCCTCTCTGCTTCAATGCAATGGTATACAGTAAAAAAACTCCCAAACGCAATCTCGAGATAAACGCATAAAATCGTCAATTTCTGGCTGAGATGTGAGTAAGTGAGTAAGTGAATGACTAGATATGTAAATCAGGAAGGTTATCAGCTAGTCAGTCAGTCAGTCAATTAGTTAGTCACTCACTCACTCACTCACTTTTCACTTAATCCGTCAATTGTAGTCATTCAGAGCATTAAAAATCGTGCATGCTGTCTATCATATAGTAATATCTGTCTTTTTACTCACCTGCAATATTCCAATAAGAAATGTTAAAGTGAATGCGATTGGAGGTCGTAAATCGAACAATTGATCCGGTGAGATACCGAACAGATTTGGATCGCCTTCAAGTTGTCTGATATCATCTGGGGCAAAACAAACTGGAATAAGTCCACCGTACTCTGCTGTGTGATTCTTTCGAGCTTGTTCGGAAATCTGAGCGCACAGTCGACGAATCGGTTCGGAAAGTAACAGACTGACCACGGCAAATGTACCTTGGTAGAGGGAACGAGAGGGCGGATTATACCATTTAAATACTCTTTCATTAGTGCATTATTGTTTAGTAAAAATAGCAATAATATTTATTGCTGTAAGACCTATCCTTGTTTTGCTTGTCATTTTGATCATTGTCATGTTAGTGGCAATTTCACTTGCGTCATCGACACTTTTGGAATGACAAGCACTCAAGCAGTTTCATGGATCACAGCCAAACTCCTCACCCTGCCTGCTTATAAAACGACCCCAAAGTGATAAAACTTTGCAAACATTCAGTCGGTAGTCAAGCACTTCTTTTATAATACAGTCATGCAGGATGAACAGCAAAAACGGTTGGCCCGTGCTTGCGGGGATCTAATGTTCAGCCTTGACAGCCGGAAAACTAGTTAGTCCCTGCGACGAACCAGGTAGGACTTCAGTTTGATTTTAAAAAAGTTAACTAAACACGGGTCGGATTCACAGCTGGCTTCGCATGGTTCGAACATTTTGCGGGAACTTCATAAGGAATTTGGAAACAAACGGGGCGATAATGTGGTGTTCACCCCCACCCCTCTATCGAATAATGTTAACGAAAGAGCCACGCGTTACAGTTTCAGAACAACCCGCTCGATGTTAACTGTCTGGACCGATCAAAAGCCATGCGGTTCAAATAGGCTTCTCGTGTTGAGAAGAAAATGAATAGCGATTGGTTATTGTCTGTTTAGCCAATCATATTTCGTTGTGCATGATATTTAATCCCCTTGATTCCGTCCAATAAACTAAACTCAGTTATGTGGTCTTCGACCTGTTTCTTGAGGTTGGGAGATATCGGGAGACGTTTACCAGTGCGATTTCGTGCTTGATTACAACTGTGGTTTCGATTCCTGATCCATATATATTCTGAGCAATGCACAGAATCATTTCAGCAAGATTCAGTGAACCACTGTGGTGTTGCATGAATCAAATTCACTAAGCTTAGTCAGATGTTTTTATCTGTGTGAGCGGTGGGAAGGCCAAGCTGAGAGGCGGTATCTGAAAAAGTAGATAGAAGCTTTCGACCAATTTTGAGCACGTTGTCAGATCACTCGTCCAGCAGATTTGTATTATCACAGATATCTCCTTCTTTTTTGCCGTGAAATTTATTTTCGGTGAATAAATTGTAATGGATCTATCTCTTCAAGGAGAGCCGGCACCCAAAACAAACTCATAGGTGTTTGATCAAACCAATTGCGTTTCCTGCTCGACGTTTCCGTGTATTGATTAGCTTTACCTAAATAACCAATAACACTGGAATAAAAAAATAATTTATTTTCCCATACGGTGATGGATATCTGTGGGCTATTTGTTGCCGTAGAACAATCAATGTTCTACATTATGAAATTCTCTTGTTGTTTGTGGTTTTTGTAAATTATCCCCTATCTACCGCCCACATGCACAGGCGCAAACAAACCGTCCTTGTGCCCGCATCAATCGGAACTTCTCTATTTCCCCAGTCTATGTATGTACTCGTGGTAGTGCAATTAACGTCCAGATATTTTCTTGGGTGTTTAGAACGCCCATATTCACTGTATACGAATTGATCTTTCTGATTTGATCAGGTATCCGGATGCCTTTTCTCTTTTGTCCAAACATTGTACACGTAAACAAGAATAGTGACTGTTTCAGTGCAATATCTTCCCGATGACCTGACCTGTTGTTTTCCTGCACTGAATGCGGTTCATCAATATCACATCAGTCTATGGGACTCTTGATCTCATCTGGCAAGCCATGGCTATCGATCTGAATGGTTTAAGTTTGACGAATCACGTGATATGAGCCTGGGTAATGGTAGTAATGTAACGTTATGTGGTACAAAATCAGGAGGAAGCATTTCTCAGGTCCTGACCTAAACGAATCCCATCCATATTTCTGAGTATTTTAATACTACTTCTCTCTCTCGAAACCTTTTTGTGCTTGGGTTTAACTGAACTCAAATCATTTTAAGTTCAGTTGTGTACTGTTCTTCTCCAAGTAGTTCTTTATTTTATAATTTTTTTTTGAGTATTTTAAAGAAAGTGCTCCAGGTTTGAAATTGGTTTTGCTATATGTATTTCGCTTGGTTTCTGCAAATTCACATATCCCGGGATCAACAATGTATTGTTTTTTTTCACGTTTATTTCTACATTTTGGTTTTGGTCCTTGTGAGTTCATTTTAACTCCAAAATTGTGAATCGTTTAACGGCGTATTGATGATGGCTTGACAAGCATACTGGAACTCAGTTCCGTCTATGTTAAGAGTTATCAGCAGTGAACAGATTTCGAGGACTCGGTCGGCACCTGACCCCAACCTTCTCCACATACCGATAAGCTATCGACAGTGATTGTCTGAAACATAAGACCACATTTAGTCCGGACAGTGGTTTCACAATTCGAAAGAATTTTCCACACAATAATTTTACTCTCTTCGCTCAGCTCATTCTTGGTAACAAAGTGTAAAAAATCCCTATTGACCTATTGCATCATTTTATTCGTTTTTGTTTCCATAATATTCGACCACAATATTAAACATTTTCGAGTGTCATGCATACGAGCTCATCAAAGTCGATGAGTTGCGTCGGTCACGTGATAATTGGCTATGCATGAACCGTTCATCTTCTGTATCATATCTGGTCGGTTGACTTGCAGCGTTACTCGCTCACATAGATAGACGTGCATTGTTCCATTGCATGGTACCTTTAATTCATCCCTTCATGTACTCCTTGGTTTTCACCACTGATTCTTCTCTCGATTCATCCACAATAAGGAGAAACAAACAATGTTTTTGTACTCACTTCGACTACAAATGACGCGATTTGTGCAAACGATTAATGAACCCTTTTACCGCAGAAACTGGTCAAACAGAAAACATTCCGTCGTCCAGAAAAAAAAACACTTAATTGACGATTCATCAGAATTACTTTCCTGGCATCAGAAATTGATAGTTTGTTGATAGAAACAGGAAGCATTTCAGTCCCCACCAGATTGTACCTGACCTTTTCAACCATTCTTTTCAGATAAATTGATTGAAAAAACGCTTGAAATGCGTCCTCTTTCCGGCTGGGGTGGGACGTTTCGCAGACTGTCTGGGACCAAGTTCGCAATTTCGCTATCTTTGTGGTCGGTTTAGGGTGAGCGTGTGGGGCTTGGCGTGGCGTGGCGTGGCGGGATGGGACGGGACGAGAGCAATTGGCACTGTGACTGAGAATAAGGTGAGAGAGCGATTGGGCTTTCGTGTAATTTGAATCAAGCCTATTTGGTTCTCGCTTGTGTATGCCATCTGTAACCAACACTATTTGAAACGACAATTTTACTCGGGGACGAAGATCGAGTGATCACAGAGCATTCATTGCCGATCAAAAGGTGGAAAATTGGATTTAATGAGTCCGATTGAACACAGACTGTATGTTTGCATGCATGCATGCATGCACGGATTACCTACTCCCCGGCCTACCCTTCATTTCTTTTATGAGTCACTTAATGTGGAAGGAGTCAGAGATGCTCTGGCAGTCTGTATCTTCACGTTTTTGGTTTGATGAAGCATAAGTCTCTCCTGATCTCAATGCTCTGATACGATTATAATGATGGTTTCGGTGACCCCAAAATCACGTTAACTCGGAAAGGTGACTGTAGACTCTCTGGTCCATTGCATCAATCTAAACCTGACGCACAGACAGACAGTATGATCTATGCCCTGATACATCAATGCAAAACACTACGTCCTCAGTTTAGCAGGCAGAAAGTAACCTCCCAGTAGCAGCAGCAGCAGCAGCGGAAGCTGCGGACTAGAGACGCTCATACTATTTGTTCCCAGTTGAGCTAATTGTTAACTCAAAGTTGTCATATCCACGTTCCGCGCTCTACGAGTACATGAGCACTGCTGACCTTCACTGATCGATGTGAACTGTGAATCAAATGCGAGTGAAGTTAGAATTTGTGGCCTCGAATCCTAGGTGTCAAACAACCAAACAGCCAAACAGATATCCTACCTGTCAGCCTTCTACTAAGACCGAAGAAAAAACATTTTGCCACGTCATTCGTACAGGTCAGCCATTCAGTCTTCAGTCCCCGAAAATGAGACTTCCGTCAGGCAAGAACCCCCCACCTCCCGGGGTTCCCATCACATTACAATCTAATAGAGACAATGTAATAAAATTTCATGAACAACAATTTGGGGGATGAGAGGGGAACAAAAATGATGCATAAATGAATGCAAACAAAATACAACACATTTCCAAGGTTGAGTTTTCATTGTCCGTTCATTTATTGATTTTTTTTAACCAGTCTGAGGACAGACCCGAAACAAATAAAGCGAAGGCATCGTTGATTTGCTTAGCCTCTATCGAACACAAAACTATGTTCCTCCGGTTTCCGTGTAGAAAGACCATCGGGTATTATCAAGGATTTATCATTCCAAACGCTTACGCAATCACGTGAAACAATTCTCAATGATTAGGGCTTAAGAGCGTATGAAAACTCTCAATTGATACTTATAAAATGTTAAATTCTTGTTCGACCCGACGGTGGAACTGTGCTGCAAGATCATTCAGCCATCAGAGAGACGGCACAGACAACCGTGTGTTGGAATTCAGTACGTGAACCATAAGCGGTGGATAAGTGTAACGCTATGTCCTCTGTTGACGTTCACACAGTTACTGAGCCGCAACCCGGACGGAAACACGTACGGTTTGGTAACTATCCGCTGGTGATTTACTCATCGACTATGCATAGGAAAGTTATATTCCCTGAAAATAACCAATCAATGGGACGATCACTATTATCGCAGTCGGAATAATAGTGAGCGGATGAGACAGTTTACAATTTCAAAACATTAAGTTTAGAATGTTACTTACAAATTTTGAATTAGAGTCGTCATAAAGGAAGAGGTGATCGCCTCTCACTCTTCAGCGAGATAAATTCATTTTGTCTGCTAGAGAACTTGTATACACAGATCTAAAATGACTGTACCGCACGAGAGACGATCTACGTGACTCAATGTCCGACACTTTGCACAAATATGATTATGCAACCACTGGGTGAGAAAAACTGTGCATACGATCTTGTTCTTATTTTAACTTCATTTTCATTATGCTCAAACCAATTCCGATCGGATATTGTAATTGTCTTAATGTTCGATAAATTGATCGGTGAAGCGGGTCAGTGCATTTCTGTCTGGCTTCGATTTCTGCCACTCAATCCACTACTTCGACCGAACACTCCCGATTCGGGTTGAGCGAATCGCTTCTCTGGATCACATGTCAGGCATGTGTCACATGTTTCGCTCTCTATCTCATCCATGTCGAGATCGATTGGGTATTTCCTTTTTTTATTGTTGGTCAATCATGAATGATGGTTGTCAATCCCCGTCAAACTCACCCATTGATAGTTGGGCACAACGTCCGAACACGGCGTAGAAAAGTGGTGCGATAAAGCTCACATATAGTCCGTAAACCGGAGGAAGCCCGGCAAGCATAGAATAAGCCATACCTGAACATGCGACGGGGGGGGGGAGAGAATGATGTACATGGTAAGATTTGCACAAATTGGTAGAGCAACAAAGATATTCTCACTTCCACCACCACCACAGACAACAACAACAACAACAACAACAACAACACCAACACCACATGTCACAAAGTGAAAGGTTATCAAAAAAGTACGTTGAGTAGGTGTTTTTAAATGTCCCTTTTTATCGACAATGGGCTTAGGCACACGAAAGCAACCAGGCATTGAACTATCCATTCTGTTTCCCTAGCATAACTGTTCATTTATAAGCGATAGAAAGATTAACGATGACCGACAAAGAGCACAGGACAGCTGTCTCGTCAGGTTTGAGCCTCGTAGGCAGTGCCTAATTTTTGTTTCCCTGTCAACACTCGAACCAGTCGGGCCGGGATCTCGAACCTTTATCCCTGAGCTACGAGGTCATATTACCCTGTACGAATGGTTCACGCAGTCGACAGTAGCCAATTCGGTATATTCAATTTGATTGTTCATAGGCATCAGGCACTATTGATGATCTGGCATGTGGGTTTTATTCCTTGGAAGATAGTAAATTCCCCACTGGTTGAATGCGTTTACGAACAATTGACTATTCCGAATTTGCTACTCTTAATAGTTGATCCATCATTTCTGATGTACAGTTTCCAGTCAGATAGCAAATACGTTTGCTTTACCCTAATCTTGATTAACACGATTTTAGACTAAAAGTACTAAGCACAGAAAAAACGCAGAAAAAGACATCTACAGAATATAACCGTAAGCGTTCATTATCTGCCTTTCTTGCTAATGTAATCGCTTTCACCCAGAGAACGCTTTTATTTATTGGGTTCAACTTTGTCTGACTCAACAACTCAACTACTTCCGGTAAAGTAAAAGAGATAAACAGAATTCTCCTGGCAACTGGGGTAGTCATCCTTCTTTGTTTTGTTAAAGCTTGTTGAAGATTTCAGTTGGAGTTTTTGAAATTGGAAAACAAAGTTCCTTTAACTTTCACGCTGTCTCACTAGCATCTTTCTCGATCACGCCTTTTCTTGTACACCGATTTCGGATGACTTTTAATGAAAAGTTTCATGGATGAGACTTACTCTGGGAAATCACACTTGGTTTTGGGATTCAAAATGGATGGAGCAAAATTAAAAAGCTCATTAGACCACTTTCGGTGACCGTATGCGAATGATAAAAACTTTAATTTTTTTGTAAAACGACACCCGTTCGTGGACGATCGTCTACTAGCTGTACAGACCTGAAGTTAGGGGAGGATTTGATTCAATTTTATAGGCGGATTCATTTTGTAAAGAGCAAATGAAGCGTGAACTGAAGATCAAGGGAGCACTCACTGTACAGCTGTTTTTATCTGATCAGCTGCCGAGTGAGTAGTATCTTTTCGTTCTACCTGTGAGGTTCCGTGTTCGATCCCCAGTTGGATCGATGGATTCGCACTGCACGAATGAGACCCAACCAGGTCGAAACAGTTGTACTGTGCTTCCTAAATTTTCATTTGTCGTATCATTTTCTCCTTACATGACGAATTTCCTTATAACAATAAGAAATAGTTGTACATAGATCAAATTTAAATCCGGACAACTGTATCCCATTAATGAACTCTTAACTATCTGCCTTCTCTTTCGCTCGTTCTGTACGATTGAAATGATTGACAACGTTGGTGAACATCAGTCCTTTGAATAGCAAAAAATGTTTACAAGGGAACACGCTCGGTGCTGAGGTTTTCAAATGTTCCCCATAAAGTTTGAGAACCCTTACTTCGCTGTCGCGTGGATCTAAATGCGGTCTTTTCGAATGCTGCTTCGCACAGCGCTACCTATTCCTTCGGTGCATTCAGCCCGTTATTCAGTTGCCCACTTCCGTCACAAACTGAATTGGTCTCTGAGATGCTCTCATGACATTGGACTGGGGTTATACTGACTAAAATGCGTTGCCCTCCGAAACAGTTGCTCATTTTGGCGTCTAATTGTGGAATATTACCATGGTTTTATGACATGACAAAATATTATGCATCGGTTAGACTGCATAATCAAGATACAAAGAAAGCTGCAACGACGAATACCTTAATCTGAGAAGTATCATACTGATCACATGATGGATAATTAAAATTTTTGTTATTTTTCGTCTTTTGAGAGTTTGACAGTCTGTAGAACGCGTAACGATTTGATATCAACACTGCTACCGGTTAACCAGGAGGTAAATTTGTGCCAAAATTTGCAAACGCTCTGTCTATGATCGACGACCTCGTATGCGTTCAGTTTCCGAGTATGCTCAGTTGGTCGATTAAAACCATACGCACACACACGCGTATGTATGAGCGCGCGCATCACGAAATCACCAAGCACTGCGATCACAAATAAATAGCAGCAGCAACAAAACGGGGGTTTACAATCGACCAAATAAACCGTATTCGTGTAAGCACAAATTTATCCTATTCAACATATATCAGTTTAGAATGAATGAGTACAATTATTTCTGATTAAATTTGTTTTCCAATAGTCTCTTTCGTGAAATTTCACAGTCTACCTGAACACACCCAACACACTCACTCTCTAGTCGGTCTCACGGAAATTGTGATCAAGAAAATTGAAAACGAAAACAACTGACTATTCCCATTCATGAAAGTAAACATCACCGGCTGGTTATTTTTCGAATCTACAGATTTTTAGGTATTAGTTTTTTCAGAGGATTTGAGGAGTTATTTTCTCGGACAAGCAGCCAGATGTCTATAAAATTAAGCGTGATAAAAAAGTGTTCTCTTAGGATTGACAAAAATCCTGTAGATGCATAAAAAGCAATTCACTTTCTTTGTTGACCCTGTCCCCAGCACATTCCTTTCAACTATTCCCTCATCATCCTGTAATCACCTGCGAGTTCCCAATTCATTTTGAGACCGTGGTCTCTAGTGTTCGCCACTACGTTTCCACCTCCACTTTCATTTGTTTGCGAGTTGCGGTCCCTCCGTGACAAGCGTCCTTACTAGGTAACTCTTTAAAATCCTGTCAAACAGCAGTGATCATCTTTCGTTGAGCCCAATAACCGCCCAATTAGACAACGCCGATTCATCCTCCGCTCCTCTCCTCATTGAAAATATCTCTATACTCATACACAGCATCAATGTACGGGTGTTTAGTTTTTCCAGTCCTCCACCCCCCAAACACATCCCACTGCATGGCAGTTTTCGTTTAACTGCACAACAGACCGGTCACGTGATACATCATCTTTTTCACCATCATTGTAGACCACGACCCAAGATCTCGATTCACATATAACCCATTCCCACTCACCTGGATACCGTCGGATTAAGCAGAGCTGAATACTACCAGGCGCATCCCCGGATTATGGATAGGGCGATACCTTCACCGGAGGTTAGCTGTGAATAAGTTGGGGCATACCGCAACCAATAAGCAGTCGCGAGGAAACAGCAGTAGCACTACCAGGGTGTGGTGTTTTTTAGACTGGTCACCTGGCTCTTGTTTAAAAGCTGTATAAGTCCAATGATGGTGTCGTATCGATGTGACTGAACTTTTACAACTGAAATCATTGACCCCTCACAACCCGAGGCGAGGGATTACTTCCTGCTGCCTTGCAGTTTGCACTTGGTTGTGCAAAGGCTAAAGATGCACCCTCAAAATAAATAAAAAACGCCGAGTGATGCTGCAGACGTCTCTCGAACAAAACTCTCACGGAACTTCGTGATCATGTCTGGAGCCGGTTTATTCTTTTTAAGGAGCCAGCAACAGTAAGGAAGAATAAAGATATTCCGAATCGGGTATAGGTTTCGGGCAACGAGAAAAAGCTCTACCTTCAGATTCTGTGCTGTTATGAGATACTTCAGTTTGCATG